GCAGGGGCTGAACATGACTCACTGCACTAGTTAACTCGGGAATCCCCGCCTGCATGGACATGCCTGGGACCGCACTCTGCAGAGGAGGCGAAAAGCCTAGCTGGGGTCCATCCCCACCAGCCAGTTCCCATCGCACTAGCTTGGTGTTTAAACAGTGTAACCAGTGAGTGAGGTGGAGATCCTCGGGGGCAGCTGTCACACTAACAAGCAGCTCCTGCCTTCACCCATGGGACTGACAGCTGAGTCTTCCCTGGCAGGTATGGCCCAGGAGGAGTTGGGGACCCAGTTCTGCAACCCCAGCCACTCAGTTCCAAGTCCCCCCACAACCAGCTTCCTTCCAAAGCCACAGGTACTTCCAAGCCCTCACAGTTGAGAAGGATCCACTCACATGACAGCCCAGAAGCAGAGGGCTGGTTCTGTGGACAAGACGAGGTCATCTTGAGAATGGGGGTAAGTCAGGACTGTCCCTGCCACCCCAGTGTTCCAGCTGATGTCACGTCTCTCACATGCACACACATGCACACATGAAAGCATACACACATGTATTCGTGTACAGACACACAAGCACACATACAGACATACGCATACATGCACACACTCGCACACAGCAGGCATACACACACACACACCCAGAGACACACATGAACACTGACCACATTTGTGTGCAATCTGATATTGCCTGCATGTGCCAAGGCTTAAGCTAGTCCCATCAGAAGCAGGAAATTGAGTCGCAATGCCCATGGGCCGGCATTTGCAGCTCTCACAGCACTCAGCACAGGCATCTCTCAGAGTCATCAGACACGGCCCACCCACCCAAGGGAAGGAAGCCTGGCCCCTACAAGCAGGCCAGGGCTGCAGAGATGCTCCCCTTCTATCCAGAGAGCTCCTAGAAAACCCCCAGGGCTTGCTAGAGGGAAAGGACAAGTGGAGAGAGGAGGTCAGGTGAAGAAAAAGGGCGGCAGAGAGGGGCAGTCCCCACTTCTGGGGCCTGGAGGTACCTTCCCATGCATACTTACCTTATGGGGGAATAAGGAGATATAAAGCTACTGGGAGAAGTTGTGACTCCCAAGGACTCCTGGGGCCTCACCTTGTCTTGGGAACATTTTGGCCACCCTCAGACCTTGCAGGCAGGATAGGGGGTCACCCTGGAGGACAAGGAGCTGCACATGATGCGGAGAGGATTATGTTTGGTGAGAACAGGCCACAATCCTGCTCCAACAGCCCTTCCCGTGGCCCTCAGGGGTGTTGCACCCTGAGTCCAGCTTCCTTGCCTTCATGAGAAACCCCCTCCATGGGGGCAAAGCCCAGTGAACTGGGCACCCCTGCACCAGCAATGACCCAGGATTCCAGGGCCCGGCCCATGCAGCATCTCCCATGTCCACCAGGCCCGCCCCAAAAGGACACCCTTCCCTCTTGGTTTGCCCACATCAGTGCCCCCTGAAAGCCCCAGCCAAGGGCATCCTCAGGGCTGGGTGTGGAGGTCACCCTTGGGGACAGGCAAGGTCATGACCTCAAGTTCTCAGAGAGGAGCTAGAGGTACAGATCTGTGGGCAGGGGCGTCCTGCAGAGGAAAGAGGACAAGAACAATCCAGGAGCCACTCCCAGATGTCAGTCAGCATCTTGAAACCTCCAGGTATGGCTCATTCCTACCTCCCCTGAGAAGCCCACCTTTACTCTCACATTAGAACTGAGTCCTGAATCTCCCCCTGCCCCACTCTGCCTCTCTTCTTGGCAGAAGGTTAGTGGGTCTATGTTGATGGCACAGTGCCTACAGGAGCAAGTCCAGGGCTGAGCAGGCACCCTGCCCCCACTGCCCCATCCAGTCCAGCAAAAGAAAGGGTCTGGTGCCTACAGGGCACAGCTGGGCTGGCCTAGACATCCTGCCTGGGGCAGTGCAACGTGTGACACCACACGCAAGGCTGGGAAGGCTGGGACAGGGACACAGCTCTTGAGGCTCCCAGGATCCCAATAGGCCACAGCAGGCAGATGTGGCTGTGGCCAGATCCCAGCTAAATATGTGGCCCTGTCCCTGCAGTCCAGCTACCCCAGTTCCTCTGGGAGGTGCCACAATGCAGAACCCAGGTCCAGCACGTGGCAGGCCTTCCCCAAAGATGGCATGAGATGGGCTCTGTGCCAAGTACTTGAGACCAAATGATGGCAAGGGCAGCAGGGATAGGAAACAGAGGGATGCCCTGACATCAGTGGGCTGCAGGGGGAAAGGGTGATGGGAGAAATGCGAGGGGAGAGGTGCATTTGCAGCTCAGCAGAAGCACATGTGCACTTCCCCTTCCACCTCTGGGTGAAGCCCCAAAAGGTACTTCACCTCATGGTGACAGCCTCACTGAAGACACTGTGCTGTGTGGATATCAGGGGTCCTCAGGAGGCAGTGCAGCCCTGAGAGCACTAAGCCTGTATGACTGAGACCACCGCAAGTCACCCAGAAACCCCCTCTGGAGACCCTCCAAGTGCTGACCCCTCTGGTGGGTGTGGGAAGAAGGATTCACTGTTGGAGAAGCAGGAGACTGGAGCTGTGCTCAGAGAGAGTAGGCCTGGTGCACAATGGCCTCTGGCACCCATGGGAGGCTCCAGGAGGCAGGTGGGCACAGCGCTCATTGGAACCATAGACCCTCTACTTCCTTCTAACACCCAACAGCCCCAGCCCTAGGGAGGCTCAGGCAAGGTGCTAAGCCCACATCTACATGAAGTGAGTCTCCTGTGTGAGATACCAGGCACCCACCTTCAGGGTCCTCCCACAGACAGGGTCTGTATCCTCTATGACAGCCTCCTGGACTCCTCCTGTCTCCATCCCAGAGAGGACACCTCCAATCTGGACACCTGTTCTCCCCTAGAATCTGGGCCAAAAGGCCCCCACTCCAGACACTTTTTTTTTTTTTTTTGAGTTGGAGTCTCACTCTGTTGCCCAGGAGCACACTCACAGCCCCCCCAGCGTTGACTTGCCAGTGATCCTTCCGCCTCGGCCTTCCAAGTAGCCGGAACTACAGGTGCACACTACCATGCCCGGTTAATTTTTTATTTATTGTAGAAAAGAGGTCTCACCAAGTTGCCGAGGCTGGTCTCGAACCCTCAGGCTCAGGCAATCCACTAGCCTCAGCCTCCCAAAGTGCTGGGATTACAGGCTGAGCCACTGAGCCCAGCCCCCAGGCACCTCTTAAACAGCCAAAGTCTCCCAGGAGCGGCCTTTACTCTTCACCAATGTTGGCACTCAGGACCAAGTTCTGGGCAGACCCCAGCATCCCACAGCCAAGGTGAGGCTGTCAATCAGAAACACGCCGTGCATGTTCTGCAGCCTCCTCCTGCTAGTCAGCGCCCATTGGAACTGGCCCAGGACACCCAGGCTTGAGGTGCTTTTCTAACCAGTAGCAGGTTCAGTTCCTTCTGCTGTGGGCTTGGCACCTGTGCTACACCATGTGCTGCTGGCAGCAGGTGTTGTAATCGTCAGCCACAGTGGGACCCTACCCAGCTCCCGCCCTGCCGTGTCATGTCTGAACCCACAAGCACCTGCTTCTTGTTGTGACCTGTGGGAGCCTACAGACCTGTGCCAGCATGCACCAGAGCACACCTGAGTCAGAGTACACCTGAGCTGACATACACCTGAGCCAGCACAACCTGCACCAGCAAAACCTGTGCCAAAGCACAACTGAGTCAGAGCACACCCGAGCTGACATACACCTGAGGCAGTGCACATCTATACTTGTACACACCTTAGCCAGTGCACACCTGAGCTGATACGTACCTGTGCTACAGCACACCTGAGCCAGCATAACCTACTAAACTAACACACACCTGAGCCAGCACAACCTGCACTAGTATAACCTGTGCCAGAGCACACCTGAGCTGACATACAACTGAGCCAGTGCACACCTAAACTAGGTTACACTTTAGCTAGTGCACCCCTGAATTGGCACATACTGAGCCAGAGCACACCTGAGCCAGCCAACCTGCACCAGAGCATGGCTAAACTAGCACACATCTGAACCGGCATATACCTGAGCTGGAGCACACCTGAGTCAGAGCACGCCTGTGCAGGCACGCACCTGAGAAAATTGTTTGAGCACTTGGTGAGGTCGCCATGGTGTTCATTGACCATGTAGGCTCCCAGACCCTCTCTGGTCTCAGTGATTGCATAGGAGGAACCACCTGATTCATAAATGAGGATACAGGCTCAGGTCTGGTTAAGGACAACCCCAGGGGTGCAGTGTTCCCCCAAAATTTCATGTCCACCCAGAACCTTTGAATATGACCTTATTTAGAAATGGGGTCTGCAGATGTAATCAGGTTAAGATGAGGTCACTGGGGTGGACCTTAAGTCCAGAGACTGGTGTCCTCACAAGAGGGAAATCCAGACACAGACACATGGAAAGAAGTTGTGTAACCTGGAGACAGAGGCTGGAGTGCTGAAGCCACAACCCAAAGACACCAGAAGGCCCCAGAAGAGGGAGCAAGAGGCAGCAAGGATCCTCCCCAGATCCCCCAGAAGGAGTGGGCCCTGACCCTGCCCATATCTTGGTTTTGGCCTCAGGGCCACAGAACAGTGAGTGTTCCTTCAGCCCCGATTCGTGACTTGTTACAGAAGCCACAGAAAATTCATTTATCCTCTGAGGATACAGAGAACACTGATTCAGGTCCATGCCAGAGCCTGGATGTCCAGAGACTCACCATGGGCTCACTTTGGGGAGGCTTGGGTCAAAGGGCAGGACTTGGGCTAATGGGAAGGGGGCAGGCAGGTGCCAGGGATGGTCATACAGCAGGAGGAAGGCATACCGCTAAGGAGAGTGGCTTCTGAACTGTGTCCCGCAAGACCCAAACAGCAGGGCTACGGGTGCCTGGCTGGGGAAGACAGATTCACCACTGGCTGGTCAGATCCTGGTCTTTATTCTCTGGAATGGAAACCTGCAACCCGGAAAGGACCACAGCTGGCAAAGCTAATTCTTTAAAAACAAATGGGGGAGGGAGAAAACACACACACACACACACACAAGTATTTGGCTCCATAAATTTCCATCCTAAGAATAACAACCCTGAAGGGTACTGAGGCCTCACGGCCCGTCCACTGTGCGTGATAGCCCAGCACTCACCTCACACACCAGGCCAAATGCAGTGATTTAAAACGGTTTTAAAGAGCAACATTAAATGGCACATTAAGGCATTTTAAGACATCAGAGTTTGTTTCCTATGGACATTTCTTTTTTACAAAAAAATATATATAATAACTTAGTTTGCATTTTACAGCATTTCCAATTGGCCAAGGCATCCTTGGTAGGGAGCTTGTGGAGTTGCACATGATGTGAGCCTCCACTGCCGAGCCCAGGGCCAGGCCTACACCCCAAGTGTGGGGTTCCCAGCTTGCGGTCCCACAAGGGCTCAACTTCCATTGCAGCCACATGGTTCATCAAGAGAGAGAGGGTGGTTCCCTGCAGCCCTTGCAGTCACTCCATGCCAATCTCACAGGGGTTCAGCCCCCTCTCCTCGGCATCCCTGTACATCCTTTGGAAGTCCTTGAAGCGTGGGGCACAGCCAAGCTGTGCCTCCCCAAAGTGCATGTGGCCAGTGAAGAGGAAATCGCCATGCCCTGGCCGCACACCACACTCCAGCAGCGTTGTGACATGACCCTGCCAGTGGCCGCCACCCTCAGGCACTGGCTGGAAGACCCTGCTTTTCTGCCGGTACAGTCTGCTAACATGCAGGTGGATGGCTGACTCCTGCCGCTCTGGCTCGTGGGTGACATTCTGGATGGAGCCTCGGACCACTGCAGAGAGAAGGAAATGGAGACAGGAATGACCAAGGGCACTGGAACCAGGAGCTAAATCACAAACCTGAGAAGAAGTTCTCAAGAAAAAGTGCAATTTAAACAGAAGGTTTAAACAGAAGCCAAGGGGTTCTCCCAGATACTTTGTCAGGGACATGGGTGTTCTTTTTGCCAAGGGTCAGACATGTACATGGGGGTAAACAGAACATAAAAACCACACAGTACATCAGTTTTTCTTTTTGGTTGTTTTTGTTTTTGTTTTGAGTTGGAGTCTCACTCTGCCACCCAGACTGGAGTGCAGTGGCTGCTCCCAGCCACCGCAGCCTCAACCTGCTGGGCTCCGGCGATCCTTCCGCCTCGGCCTTTCAATAGCTAGAACTACAGGCGCGCTCTACCATGCCCAGCTAATTTTTGATTTATTGTAGAGATGAGGTCTCGCCAGGTGGGTCTCGAACCCGCGGGCTCAGGCAATCCACTCACCTCAGCCTCCCAAAGCACGGAATTACAGGCTGAGCCACCAAGCCCGGCTAGTGCATCAGTTTTTCAAGGAAGAACAAGACAAGAAAAGTCAGCACAGCTGATATGTAAGATCCTTCTGCAGTTGTGTGTCCTGATCAGATGGACACAGGGCGGCTCAGAGCAGAGGGGATGTGGAAGGCTCACAGGAGAGGGTGAGGATCAGAGGCAGAACAGGCCTGGGGCAGCTCAGAGCTATGCTCAGAGACCACCGTCCAGCCATTGACCCTGTGCTGGGCCTCCTGAAAGCAGAGAAATGAGGAGCCTCCACAACCCATCACGTAGCTGTCCTTGGAGCTCGGTAGAAGATGCTCAGAGCCAGTTAGACCCTGGCTTCCCACGACCACTGCTGTAGCAGCGATTCAGTGAGCAGAGTCCAAGCCTTTCCCTGAGAGTGTCTGTGAAAACGTCACAAGCAGAAGGCCTGCATCCCTTGGACCTCAGCTCTGAGTTCACCAGTGCCTCAGGGCCTCAAAACACCTCCCAGAGCCACCACACCACCAGGGACCTTGAACAAGGAGTGGTAGAAGCTATGGGGTGAGGCCAAAACCAGGATGCCCCAGCTGCTGGCAAAACCATGTTTCCCAAGCACTTACAAGAGGAGAGTTGTAGAAAACCACTGACTTGAAGGGTCCTTACAGACAGCAATGGTCTCATTTGCAAGATGGGAAAATGCTTGATAATCCCAGCTATGTGTGCGTGCGTGTGCACGCACATGTGTATACACAGAGTCCCTGTCTCAAGGCTACAAACCCACTTCAGTGCACAGAAAGGAAAACACCTTTTCCTGTGACTTCAAGTGGTATTAGGTTGCGGGGGTGGGCAGGTTTTCAACACGGCACCCTGTCAGAAGGGCTTGACGCCAACCCTGGAATACTCTCCCGGGCCCAAAGAGCCCAAGACATATGCACGAGCATGGCTCCACGTAGCAGGAACCCTGAACACGAGAGAAAAAAGCTGCAAAGGCAGACACTCACCAAAGTCGCTGGTGCAGACAGCTAAGAGGACCTCGGTGTCACTGCAGGGGCGGCATGGGGCTGTGGAGAGGAAACATGGTCAGGAGGCAGTATGGACATGGCAGGTCCTGGGACATTGCCAGCCATGGTCACAGAGGTTCATGAGACTCAGCAAAGCACTGTCAGGGGTATGCCCACATTGCAGCACCTCTGTGGTCGACACCATGTCCAGGTGCATCAGGGCCTAGCCTCTGGAGGGGCCCAGCAGAACAAGAGACAGAAAGTGCAGCCTCAGCCAAAAGCACTTACATTGTGGCTGTAATAGTAAGACCTTTGGATCCCACTGCATCCCAGACCTCAGTCTGAGAGGGGTCTCGCTCCCCACTAACCTGGTCTGTGTAGGCGTGCAAGAGGAGTAACAACTCCACTCAAACGTTGCTTCTACGTGCCGGTCACAAACACAAAGCCAATCCCCAGCTGAACTGAAATCATGTCCCCTACTTCATCTCCACATCCACACCTTGAAATGTTGGGACCTTCTCCTCACCTGCTCCTGAGAGAGCAGACACCCTTGTACTTCAGGCTGCCCATGTTCCCAGATCTAATCCACAGCTGCAACTCAAAAGCAGGTCACATCCCAAAAGGAGGTGTTGCTCAGAAGGACAAATGAAGCCAAGACCCAGCAAAAGGAATCCACGTTCAGGGAGGTGTGTGTGCCCATCGCGGGTGGGACCTCATTCCGGTAGTGGGAGTCCAGGTCAGGGCCAGTTCAGCCCATTCCCCTGATGCCACCAGCCCTGGAATAAGGTGCACACCCTGAGCACTGTTGAAGGGCCGCCCCCAGGATCCCCTAGCCCTGGGGGCCTGGCTTCCTCCAAGAACCCAGAAGGTGCCGCTCCTCAGAACAAGCCCCACCCACCAAGACTTGCCCAATAGCCTCCTGGAACTCAGGCTCACCCTGCCCTTCACCCCAGTTCCTAATGGGCAAGCTGCTGGGGACAGAAGCTCACATTCCACAACACCCGACACTCAGGCATGAATTTGGGAAGTTCAATTGTATCATTTGCTCTTACTGCACTCTTTAAGGCCTTGCCTCACCTATTCTGAGTTTCTAGGTTTGGGCCCCAATTCTTTTAACTCAATAGAAACTTTGAGGCATGAGGTCTCAATGACACACATTTCTCCTCAGCTGATTCACATTCTAAAGGCTCCATAGCGTCCCTGGCCAAGAACTGGGACAGGCCCAGAGACATGGATGCTGCACACACCTCTGGCCATTGGTGTTGGGCTGAGCTATATCACCTGGGGAGTGGCTGTGCAGACACCAGTTGGGGGTGCCAGTGACGAGGGACTCTTGGGGATAGGGCACTGCATGTGTCTGACAGCTCGGCCACAGCAAATAGGCAGAGCATTGCCAGGCACAGGAACTCAAAGAGGCTTTCTGGGGTCAGGAACTATGGGTCCCCTCAGGTCTCACACACAGAGTCAGCAGAGATCAGAGACAAGATGCTGGCATCTGCGGTGTCCTGGGCAAGCACAGGTCTCTGCAGACCCCTCAGCATGGATGTGCGTGACTGGGCCCTGCCACATCATCCTGGCCCCTGGAGAGGAGACCAGCACTTCCATAGGGCAGGGGAGGGTGCACTCTTGGCTCAGTGGTGCCTGACTCACCGGCCCACCCACTACCTGCTTCCATGAAGTTATCAGAAGAAGTGGCAGAACAAGAACAACCTGTTGGGTGCCTCCAGGGCCAGGCCAGGCCAGCCCTTCGAGAAGAGAGGACCAAGTCAGCATCTCCCCCACCCAGCTCCACATTCTGGAGCCTTCTGCTGACTGGGCATGGCTGCAGCAAGACCCCTGGGAGGCCATGTATGTGACTGGATCCCCTCAGGCCCCACCCAAGATGGGCCCCCAGCACCCTGCCCTTTCCTGCCAACATTCACATGGCTCACACTGCACCCCACCACCACCAACCACCATGGTAGCCACCTGACCCCCAACCCTGAAACTGCCTGGTGGTCCAGGGATCTCCTGGGGGGTTCTGGGGGTATGGCCCACCTATGGCTCTTAATGCACCTTTGTGGACCCCCACCCTGCTTGCCAATGGCCTACAGCCCAGGCCAGGCCTGACGCAGACATACACATTGAACAGAGTCCAGCAGCACAGACAGGCTGGTGGCATGTGTCAGCGAATGACAGAAAGGGCACTGGGCAGCACCGAGGGCATCTGGGCAGACTCAAATTTCAGGCAGCATTTTTATTCGGAGCAGGTGAGACCCTCCATCCTGGCCACCCCTGCCTGGTGCCAATGAGCCCAGAGGCCCTGAGACCAGGGTCTCCCTCACGGGTCCCCTCCCCAAGTGGCACCTTCAGCAAAGCAGACACAGCAGCCAGAGGGCCCCAGGTCACATGGCCCTTAAACAAGTAGGTGGATGGTGGGATCTGCACACATTGCCCAGAACCAACCTCAGGTTCCAAGATCGGTGAGATGAGCGGGACCTGCCCCATGCAAAGGCAAACACAGCCATACACCTGGTAACCCACCCCAGTACGGGGGGCCAGCAGGTAGCCAGGCACAGTGTCCAACACCCAGGCCTGGGCATGCAAGCGTCACCAAGCCCTAGAGCTTCTCTCTGTGAGACACGGGCCTGGGACCTTGGGGGATGCTGAGAAGGAGACACCCCCTCATCTGCCCTGGCATGCACTTGCTGGCAGAGGGTGTGAACCCATAAAGGTGGTCAGCTGTCCCACCCACCAGAGGTCTCCAGGAGCCAACACCATCGACAGCTGAACTAATAAGCATCACCCTGGAGATGTCCCTCTCTGATTCTGAGCTCCACAATGTGCAGGTCACCTTCATGGAGCATGGATTTCAAGGGCACAGTCTGGAAACAATTATTAATCAGAGCTGGGCTCATAAAGGCTGTGGAATGCACTGGTCATGGACGCATTGCATCCAGTTTCAGGGGGCCTGGGAGGATGGGCAAGGGGTAGAATTCTGTCCATCCTCTGGAGAGGAGGGCTGGGGCATGGGCATCTCAGGAAGCTCATGCAGGAATGGGCATAACATGCACTGAATGAAAAAGAAAGAAAACACAGTCAAATAGATCCACCATGGGGATGCAGGTACAGATGGCAGGTGTAGACAGGAGGCCATGTCCATGAGTGAAAGTAGGACTAGCTGGTTCCAAGGAGAGGTTTGCAGATGGATGAACAGACAAATGCTGGTTCTGCAGGACTGCCCAGGTATGGAAGATAGGGTGGACCCACACAAGTTCCAAAGGGAAAGCCTCCCATGATGACGGCCCTGGGTCCCCCACTCAGTCAGTGATAGGATGGATGCAGTGTTTTCAGGGGAGCCATGAACAGTGGGAGGTGGGCAGGGAGTGAGCTCAGGGGAGAGGAGGCCAAGTTTCTGAGGCTCCTCTGATGGCCAATACCCATGCACAGCCAACTCCAAGCCTCGGGTTGTGGCCCAGTTGACCTTGGGGGGTGTCAGGCTCACAGTCCCTCCCTGTCAGCCTTCCTCCCTCTTCCCAGGGAGGAAGCCAGCAGAGGCCACACCCTTCCTCCCTACCAGTCGAGAGTTGGTGAAGATGAACAATAATTACAGAGTAATTACCATGGTCTGAAGAAGCCACTGAGGCAGGAAACCAGATGATGGAAGAGATGGGTGTGTCAGAGTAAGATCAATCCCTCTCCTTTTCTGTGCCCAAGAAATAGTGAGGCCTATTTTTCATTTCTAAACTTTCCACCCATTTCTCATGCCCATCAAGGCTTTCCCCAAACCCTGAGTTTCCTGGAAGAAGCTGGTCAGCAAGGGATCGGTACCCACCGAGTTGGTCATTACCCACAGGCTCAGCCACAGGGTAGGCTGTAAAGGGGACAGGAGGTCCTGGAGACACTAGAGGACCTAGCATCCCTGCAAGCCAGCAATGAAGTAACTGCTATGTGTCTGTGACCAGTATCATGGCACTCTCCTCCCCTCCGGCTGTGCATCTGAAATGCTGCCACCCCACTCCCTGTATGCCTGCTCACCTCACACAGGAATTAAACTCCAAGTCCCAAGCACAGAGGTGTCCAAGCAGGAGCACCTGACTAATGGCCCCTGGGAGAGGTTGAAGAACAGAATTCTGGAACCCACATGGACTGCCCCTGTCTCTGTTCCCCAGAATAGAGCCCCTAATCCTTCTTGCCACCCACATCCCTCACCACTGGGGACCCTGGTAGTACCTGCTTCCAAATGTGCTGGGCCCAGGGAAGGCCCCACACAACCCATGGCTGGGCCTGCCGAGCCCTCAGCACAGGTCTGGACACAGCCTGGAGCTGCCCCATTCACTCACCCCCGATGCCATCCCACCAGATGTCCTCCATGTTACAGGAAGGCATGCAGGGTCCTCAAGTGCCTGGCAAGGCCCCTGGAGGTGGCAGGCCCAGGGTCAAATCCCAAGTCCTCAGGTCTGGGTCACCTCCTGCCTGATCCCCATCTGTGCCCCTCTGTTGGATCTTTTCTTGTCTATTGGTGCATCTCAGTGTATTCAAGGAAGCAGATTATGCAATGCCAGAGCATGAGACACACACACACACACACACACACACACACACACATACACACACACACACACACCCCTAGTATCCAGACTCCAGTTACAGAGCCTCTGCCCTCTCAAGTGAGTACAAACCAGACCATGTGATTCATGAGTGAGATTGCAGGACAGCCATGAATGAGGCCAAGGGCACGCACCTCAGCTCAGTGGGCAATGCAACCTGGACCCAGCCTCCATCAGGTCTCCTACAACTGCCATGAGCCAAGACAGGAGACAAGGAGACCACAGCACTGGCCGTGAGCAGGCCTGGCCCAGGGGACACGTCACGGCTGCCAGATGGCCGGCACTGACATTCCACATTACGCACCCATTCCTGTGGCATTAAAGGCTTAGGGGCCCGTCCCCTGATGAAAGACCAATGCCCCAGGAGGGGAGACGCATCCGCCTCCCTGTCCCTCCTGTGTCTCGGCCATCAGGAGAGGGAGATTCTCTCGGAAGGGCCCTGGAGGACCATCTAGGTGGGCAGGCATCAGTGCCTGTTTCTGGGAGGTGCCAGGCAGCTCCCAGATCCTCCCATCCCCCCACATCTCAGTCTGGGTCCCCATCCCACATTCTGACAGCCTTTGCATGTCTGTGCTACCCCTGGCATGTATCTGCCATAAAATCACCAGAAATCACTGCAGGCTTGATTCAGACAGACACCCCGGGGCTAGGCAGGTGTCTGTGGTGGGGTAATGAGGGAACCCCCAGCATTTGTCTCATAAGTCAGAGCAAAGGCTGGGCCCCCAAGCTAGCCTGATACCCATGGGGCCACCACCCTGTGTGGGACCCCATGGATCCAGGAAGCACACAGACAGATAAGCACGGGACCCACATATGCCCATACTGACCTGCCATGGCTGAAGTCACTCTGCATGAAGGGTTACCACCTCCCTGTTCCCCATAGAAACTCACAACAGTTCAACCACCAACTCCCATGTGCTTCTCCTAAACCTGCTCATCACCCGGCCTGGACACATGGACTCGGGGCCCAGAGGCCACAGAGCCTGCCTCAGAGATGGGAGAGATGGTCTTCTCCTAAGGGTGAGTCACAGGCTCTGTTAGAATCATCTCAATTACAACCAGCAACCTCAATTTTTCACCAAAAATCAGCCGTGCAAAATTCAGATGTTCAGCGGTACACAGCAGTGCCTGTGACCAGGCTGCAGCCACTTTAAGAGCACATGGCACAAGCAGAGCAAAGCTCAGGCCAGAGAGCATGTGACCAGCGTCTCCAACACCAATCAACAGTTTAATCAGCAGAAGGAATGTTCACAAGTTCCTAATATCCAGCCCAGCACTTCTGCCTCTGCTTAGAAAGACCCAACTTGGTGCTCAGATTTTTCCAGATTCTGTTTTTACTGTGAGTTTATCTCTAGGACCCCCATAAAGGAGGCTGGCATCCCCTCCTCCCGGCCCTGCCCCTCACCAGCAGTGACCATGAAAAAGGCTGCTGTGGTCAAAGTTGTGATCAGCATCCAATCAACCACGGCACGGCTGGGCTTACATCAGCTTCCAGCCCTGCAGTGGCTGAGCCAGGCCCACAGGGCCATCAGGAGCACACAGGCAGTTGGGAGCCCATGGGCAGGCAGTCCTACCCACAAGTTCTCTAACAGGCCAGTTCAGTTTAAGAAAGACTTCAGAGATTTCAGGGAGAGACTGAAAACTGATCTGGGCCAAGAACACAGAACAATAAAATGAAGATTCCATTCAGGAGGGTTGTGTATGTTTCACATCCTAGTAGGACTGGTTTTTCCCCAAAGAAATCTTTGATTCACTCAAATGTGGTGATTATATTATTCTTGGAGATGGACACCCCTCACCACCACCACCCACCAGGTGTCTCCACCTGGGCACTGCTGACATTGTGGGCTGGATCAGTTTCTGGGTTGGGGTGTCCTGTGAGATAGCCCCTTGGCCCCTGCCCCACTCAATGCCAGTGACTCCACTGAACTGTGATGACAGCTGACTCTTGTGATCATCCACCTGACCAGCTACTACCGTAACAGCCCCCTGGAACCTGCTAGCAGAGCTGTAGCCTAGATGAACGAAGCTTCCACCTTCCCAAGTCCCCACATGGACCAGGCAGAGCCCCATAAGGTGACCTTATTGCCCATAGAGCCAACATAGTGACCTTGCTGCACAAGGGCTTCCCCACACACTTAGGCCCCGCCAGCAGCAGGGTACAGCCTGAGCCTGGCCGGGGTATCCCCAAAAGATATAACCCTGGGTTGGCTCACAGTACAGGAGGCAGGACCCACCCTGCCCCAACCTGAGGCAACACAGATAACCCACACATGCCTCCCAGGATCTCAGCCTCCTGGTGTTTGCCCGCAGTACTTTCTAAAGACCAACACAGCCCTCCACAAAGGGCTTCCCTTGAGTTCTAGGAAGTGTCCTTGCCCCAGCAACATCGCAAAGCACCTCCACTATCTGCTTACCACACAGGGAAACCGACTGCTTATCTCAAAGGAAGAAAAAAGAGAATGTAAAGCCCAGTTCTCAGTTTCCTGCACCATGCACAACCCGCCTGTGAAGGCCTCACTGACCACACAGTCCCCAGGACTCTTCCCTCTAGCACTCTCCTGAAGTCCCCGGATCCATGTGGTCATTACCCAAAGAGGACTTTGTGATGGTTGCAAGGAGAAGGCTCTTTTCCCAGCTTGCTTCACTTGGTACCCCAGGGACCCTGGCCACTCCTGCCCTGATCTCTGGCCTCTCCCAGCACTGCTGGTGTCCTCTCTCCATGAGGGAGAGCCTGTGGACACAGGTGTGTGACTCTGTCCACCCCGCCTGTGTTCTGTGGAGCCCAGTAGAGCCAGGAGTGACCTTCTCACCATGCCCATCTACATGGTTCCCCCAAAACTAAGTCAGCCCCGCACTCTGGGACAGCATAGCTCTGCACTGCCCCGGCTGTGATTCAGCCTCGGCTCCCACCCAAAACTCACATTTCAGGGGCTGGCGTGGACACCAAACACACCCAGCCAATGCTCGGGGCAGTCTGAACAGTAAAAGCGCCCATTTCAAAGGAGCCAGAACTAGGCCATACATGCAGGAGTGTGTCTGGGGCCAAGATCCGCCAAAGCAGCTCCTGGCTCAGACGGTGGCCATCCTCAGGGGGAGGTTGTGTACTTCCCCAGAACTCACCGGGAGACGGTCACTGTTCCAAGTCAAAAACACTCAGGACACTAAACCAGGTGTGGCCAGTCTTTTTAAAGGCAGTCTCAGCTGAAAGGCTGCATTTTAAAGGTGGTTTAGTTTTTACATCCAACATCCCCCTCAAGCCCAAATATCCCCAAGGAGGGCCCCTCCACTGGTGCCAGAGTCCCCCTTCCTGGCCACCTGTTGAGGTTCTCTGGGCAAACCCACCACATCTGAAGCACAGACACCAAGGCATCTTCACAGAGGAGAGGACAAGAGGAAATCAGAGACACGAGCAGATTACAGATCCTACCAATGATGAAACCCACTGCCCAGACTGACGACCCATGCCAGCCCCCGCCTCCACCTCAGCAGAGGCCACTCACCAGACAATGCATGCAGGTCCGATGCCCTATGCCGCTTCATCAGCTCATACTGGAAGCCCGTGGTCCTCCTGCCGATGTCCCGCTGCGGTGTGGCCTCTACAAACAGGCCACCCTGTTCCAGACCAAAGCACTGCACCTGGCCGGGCCTGCCGTCCCCATCCCGCACCAGTAGTCTCAGTTCTCCAGTTTTCTGCAAATAAATATTGGCCCCCACAGAGTCCCTAAAGGGCTTGATGCACACAGTCAGGTGGCGGGCAGGTGAGAAGGTGTTAGGTCGAAGGTTGACGATGAGCGCCCCCGTTGGGTACATCCATTCCACGGTGCCTGTCGCACAGCGCAGGTATACCTGCTCCACCTCCTTCCTGTGCGCCTCACGTGTCAGCCCACTGCAGAAGGAGAGGACACTTGTCAGCTCAGAGAGCCAAGGCTCCCACTCCACACACCTGTCCCAAGTGAGTGTCAGGACAATGTCACAACGACCACTCTCAGACTTCCCACTGCCACTGACCACAGACCCCACCCACAGAGTGGTGCCCTCTGAACTTCCTGGAGCCTGCTTCCTTGGGGCCCACTCCCAAAAGGGGGCAGCTGCCTGGGAACAGTGGCCTCTGCACAGCCTCCCTCCCCCAGTTCCATTCAGGGCACCTGCACCAAAATCAAGATGAAATGGCTAGGGCTCCATCGCATGCAGGTGGCACTGGTCCCCAGGCCAGACAACGAGTCTCAGCAATGTCCCTAAAGCAGGGAGGCTGGAGGCATGGGGTCACAGGAGTAAGAACCAAGGAAAGATGGACACCTCCAGAATAACAAGGACACACCAGCAGGACTTTGGTCAAGTTCCAGATGACCAAATACAGGCCAGGAAGCTCGTGATAAAGGAACAATGAGGCCCCCTGAGTGTGAAAATCCAGGAGGAGCCATGGATGCAGTGCAAAAGTAGGATAAATAACAACCTGCTCCAGACAGCAGCTTTTAAAACAATCAGGAATGTTAGCAATTGGGGCAGGGGGCTTTTGTTGAGTTTTGTCTTTTAGCACCTCGCCACTGTGAATAAATGTTTGCACTTTCCTTAAGAAAATAACTGTTTTCATTAATTCCAAGCCAGAATATCCTGCATTGCCAATTGTATTTTTTTTTAATAATCTCAAATATTACTAAAGCAAGATGTGCTACAAAAGCAAAGTAAGCATCCTCCACAGTGTGGAGATGGGGTGGGGATGAGTGTGTAAGAACATGTTAATTTTACTCCTAATCAATGCTAATAGGACTAAGTGAAGTGCACTACACCTTTGGAGAGGCAGGTCATGAGCAGAGACAGGTACATTTGCAATAAATTAAAGCATTAAAAGCGTTAAGCTTCTTCTACTGGAAACTTTGATGTAAATGTCAGTTTGTCACAAATAAGCGGGGTAACCTCACAGCCACCAAGTGGGCCTGGAATTCAACCAGTGACTTCAACTAAGTGTTTTATTACATGAAATTTGGTTCTGATCAGATCTCAGACAGGTTCACTCACATTCTTAGGATTTTTATGTGAAATAAGCAATGTTAAATCCAGAGCCCTGGCCTGAACGAGTTACCAGAAACCCTTTCTGCAGAGGTGAAAACATGTAACATATGGTTTGCATTTACCGCTGGTGACTCACGCTCTGGGCCCCCAAAACCTCACTTTTCATCTGGCGGCTGCTGCAGCCCAGGCTGTACAGTCACCCTGTGGACCACATCAGAGGGAGGTGCCAAGGAGTGAACCCCCTCCTGACCTGTTTCCACCCCCACAAAGGCCCGGGTCACGAGCAGACGGCTGCCAGGGTCACACACCTAGAACAGACTTACAAATTACAGTCCATAAAACTCACACACGCTCATTTGACATGTATGTGGGGACAGACATGATTACAGAGCTGTGTGAAAATTAGACTAAATGGTGAGTGGCTGACACACACGACTATAATCAGCTCTCTTCTTATGTAGCCAAAACAAACCTCATTGCTGTGTGTCTCCCCTCCTGTCTCCCCATCCAGAGGCAGCTATGCCAGGGGCAGCTATGCACTGAGCCTCAGCACCCTCTCCCATATAAACCATCCCATCTAAGGTCAAGGGAGTAGAGACCCCTTCTACTCAAGGCTCTGGGCACCTCTAGTGGCACCACCTTCATCTGAGCAGGGGAGAGGCAAACAGGCTCCACCCATGGCTCAGGCACGGGCAGGAGCCCTCTTGGGGAAGCATCTGTCAAGGGAGGCAGACCTGAGCTTGGGGCTGCCACCCTGACCTGCACACATAACTACGTGCACCTTGGCTCCATTCTATCAGAAGACACTCAGCAAGAAGAATACTAGGAAGCAAATGAAGGTGGACACAGAAGAAATAAGATGCCTGTTACCCATCACCTAATGTCTTCACTGGCCCACCAAGAAAATGGTCTACACCAGTCCCAGGGCCTGCTATCCTCCCCTCTCATGTCCTTCTAAAATATCAAAGCCAACGGAAATCCAACTAGGCCCTCGACACAGGAATTTTCACATGAAAACCAGTAGCACATGATGTGTAGACCCCCAAGCAGACAAAATAAAAAGTAAAACCACACACCCCTCAGCTTGGGACTCAGCAGGCCTCTGAGTGAAGTCAAAGACTCATGGTCTGTGCCGGGTTCTCCCAGAACATCTAGCACCTTAACTGTCTCACCACCAAGTATCCAGCACCATGGCAAGCCTGAAAAAAGTGTCTACTTATGCCAAATTGCTGGAATTGCACACACACAAAAAAAGCAATTCATCTTTAAAAGTCATGAACGACAGTTTTCTACAATTTTCACTGAGATACAGGTGACATACTAAGCAAACATAAAACAACTCCATTCTGCTATTGTGATAAAACTATAGTGCAGACAAAACCGATTTTATTCAACTTTAGGAAACTGACAAGACTAGTTTGATCTTATATTAATAAACTGAATGAATGAATGCTTTGTTTTAAAAGTCAGCAAGGGTTTCCACCCAGGTAGGCATACTTTATGGAAAAGAAGGTGAATCCTCCATGAACAGAGGACTCACTGGAGCAAGCAGCACTGGACCCTGAGGATCAGTGTGGTGCCAGCACACACACCACAGCACAAGTCACCAAGTTGACGGTCCCTTGTTATTAAAGTCAGGAAGGGCTTTAGCTCAAGAGTGAAACCAAAAGGCTCTGCTGACAGTTATCTTTCCTTTCTCCACCTTGCAGGAGAGACAGGCCACAGAGCCAAATGTGACTGCACCTGAGATGCACCCCCCCAATAGCAGTGGGAAAGTTCACAGCCCCCCTTTATGGCCACGGGCAAATAAAGACATCCCGCCTCCTCTAAGGCAGAGGAATTTCCAAATCTCCTACTTAATTGCTTGGAAACACCTAGAAACAGAAGCCTGTGACTGTGAGTGGCCGGCCATAAAGCATACTCCCTGCTATCAGGGGATCAGAAACCACCCCACATATCAGCCTTGCTCCACCCTGTGCTGGCTTTGGAAACAACTCATAAAAAGTCATAAACACCAGGAGTCAGCAAGCAAACCTGCATATTCCTGGGTTTCAACAGAGAGTATCTGTCAGCTGATCTCTGAAGCGTATTGATAGCAGCAGCAAGGAAGCCATATGCGTACTCCAGAAATGTCGCCCGACCCTACCTCCTTTCCAGATCATACCTTCAGCTCCAACAGCCCCTACTGCTTCCCTCTGCCCTCTGGGAGAGGGACCCCTCCGAGAAAGTCCAAGACCAGGTGGAAGTCAGCTACCATGGGGAAGAAGAGGCCAGGTGAAAGCCCTCCACCCCCCACTGCAAACACCTGTTTGGAGGAGCAGGCCTGCCCCTGGAGGTGGAGGGGAGGCCTCCCACCCACCCTCACTCACCCACAGCCCCTGCTGGGCTCCAGGAGGCAGTCCCTACGTTCCAGGCCCCCAGTCCTCTGACACTCTGAAAGGGGTGCCAACTCCGCCTCAGGAAACTCAGGCTCAGAAGGCTACATTTCTAGTTTTGACCTGCTGAAGCAGAACACTCAAGGCCTCGGTTTCGGGGTGCACTGATTCACCAGGCAGAGGCTGCATGCAGGAGTTTAATTACTATGGCGGGGGGAAAAGGGCAGCCCCAGAGGAACTGTCAGCATTAGAGGCTCCCAGCCAGCTCGGCTGGCGCCAGCATTCCCCAGGCCAGCCCTCCCACAGAACCCGGTCCACCCTCAGCCCAGTCTCAGATCCCCCGACCAGCTCTTCCCAGCAGGAAGGCAGAAAACTCCAGTAAGGCCGGCAGCACCTGGGGCTCTCAGGAGCCAGGGGTGAGTCTCCCAGTCCATCACGCCTTCCCCCGTGGAGCCTAGCCGTGGTTCCTCAAAAAGCTGGGCACTGTGAGCATCCAAGATGACCAGCGGCCGCCCTGCTGACGCAGAGCTCAGCGCACGGCTCAACCCCCAGCCTTCTGGAAAACCAGCTTCATTCAGAATAACCCCGTGACACCTCCGTCCTTCTTTCCCCCACCCCCATAAGCTTTCTGTCACTGGAGTCGTATTAGACTAGGGGCCGAGGGGCTTGGGCGACCCTACTCCATCGGGGTACCCAAACATCCCAGGGTCCCCAGACTCGAAAGCCCACGGGCATTCGTAGTCCCAGTTCTTCCGAGGAGACGCGCCAGCCGGGTCCCAGGCGCTCTGCAAACTCCTGCCAACTTCACCGCACGCAACGGCCTCGCCGACGGCCGGCTGCCGGCCTGCGCTTCGCTTCTGAGCGGCGCTTGAGGCACCCGCCCGCGCACAGGCGGCCGGGCTCCTTTCTGCAGTCACACTTGAGTTAAAAGAGTCCTCGGCTGCCACAGCGGGTGGGGGGGTCGCCGAGCCCAGCGCGCGCGGCTGCCAAGGGCGGCCTGACCTTCACGGGCGGGGGCGGGGGGCTCCGCCCGGCGCACACTGGGCCCAGCGCCGCTGCCC